TGTTTTCTTTTACCGTAATATTGAAGTATAAAAGTGTTCTGTTAGCCCGTTTACAGAAATAAATTCATTTAATTTCAATGAAAAGATACACAAAGACTCTTTTTACCAAACCAGACACATTTGCATATCATATAGAACTTGTTTGACCTAACTATTTAATGCAAATAACTATAGATATTATTGAATCGTAGGAAAGTGTAAACTGTGCATTGATTATTGTTGTATAAGAATGCTTGGGGCATCATCTATAAACGGCATCGAAGATAAAAATATGGTTTATAGAAATTTTGTCTGTTTATGTGTACGTTTCGAATGTAGAAGAACGGGCAAGAAACTCCATCGATATTGTTTTAAAAAAGACGTGTAATGTCAGTTTGTAACGCGTCAGCTGGCAGTGTATACGTTCATTGGTTCCCTTTAATATTCAGAAATTTTACTGAAGTTTTTGCATAGGTTTTACAATGCAAGTTTGGCTCCATTTAGCATCGTTTCACCAACCAAATGTTACTTTAAAAAAACAGCAAAAATATACTTTGGCAACCTACAAGTGTTACCACTGACGAGTTGTACATAAATTTGCAAGTCTAATTTCAGGCTTTGTTGCGTGTTCAGATTCAATACGAATGATTCAGTAGAACCTACATTTAGTTCTCATTGGAATACTAATGAAGTTTCCGACCGAACTGAGGCATTGAAAATCAATTTCATCAAATGTTTTGTTACAGCGGTCTTGGGAATTGATTATGATTGGTTAAGGGAATTCAAGGTCACACTGTCTTTTATAGAATCCTTACGATATTATTAAATGTCTACGTATTTATGGCTTCTAAAGTTGTTATCCTGTTCTCAATTTTCTGTCTCCAGGAAACGAATTGTTTCGTTTTCTTATTAAAATTAGGTGCCACGATAATTGGTGTAAAATTAAAGGTACAATTTTTTTTGAATACGTTAAGTCAATATTTAAGAAGGAAATTTTTAAAATTTGATTTTTTTTAAACACATAAAGTGCAATGAGTTGTCTCAGAGCTGGTGAGATATCGTTGGATTTCATAGTTTTCCGTTAATTGTCAGTAGAACGGAGTATGCAGTCGCATATTGCACATGAGGTGAGTCAGATGAGTGAACTACCGAAAAGTGGACGTTCCATGGTCCAGGTTTCAAACAATCGTACAATTAGATCATTAGCAGATAAACCACACCTCGTCTTTTTACACTACTCTCGATGATCCCCACTCTCAGTTCTAAAAAATAAGACAGAAAATTTTATTCTAAAATAAAATACTACGTAATGTATACGTCCCTTAGGAAATAAGATCTCCTTACGTTAGCTGCAGATACTTGATCATAAGTAACGAGATGAATATGTTCCAATTACTGGAACTTCGATCGACTCAATACGATTTTTATCCATCATTTTGTAGCCAACTTACCACATAGATTGGAAACAATCACATAAAATGTTTGTGAAAAAACTTTTCTACAAAGGATCCGTTTATATTTTAACGATGTCACTTGATTTTTTTCTTGGTGTGTGGTAGAATATTTTTCGTTGTGTTTCGTTTTTGTCGTAGTCATTATAGTAACCTTGTCATCTGTATCTCAAATATATTGCAAACCAATAGTAATTAGAGAATTCGTCTTAGCTGGTTCTAAATACCTGAGTCTTTTTTGTTTTCAGGGGAATCCTTCAAAGACGGGGCGTCTTGTGCTTGCTCTATGCTTTTGGACAGAATAACTTGGGAGCGTCATTTTGATCATCGTCCCCGATCAAGGGACCCTTCTCCTCCTCTGAATCAAGTGAACGGTGAAATTTTAAATCAAGCCGATTAAGTGAAGAAATTGCATAAAATATACAATTCCGATTCAAACGTGTAAAAATTATCAATAAAAAACCTGAATAGGATTCTTTACTAAATTCAATTTATGATAATTATTGAAGTTATTAGATAATTGTCTGCTATGATTTCTGAAATCCTTGATTTAGATCAAGATTACAGTCTGTTCAAGTTAGCATTGTCATGATTAACAGCTTAGCTACCTGTCCAGTCAATTAGTGTTAACAGACAGGTAGACAGTTAAACTATAGGATTAGTTAATCTTCATTGGATCTGTAGATTAATCTATCAGGTATATCTCCTTTGGTAGACTGTACTGTACGGTGATCGCAAGTGCAAGTGGACAAAAGGGGTTTCAGTTATGATACCTGCGACTATCAAAATATTATTGTCATATTTCTAAGTAATAAGTTAATCTCAGTAATAAATTTCTCAGTTTATAAGCGGGGGAGAGCCGTGCTTCGGGACGAATCAGCCGGCTCGACCGAAGTCACAGAAAACCGACGTGAAACAACGCTTGCGTTGTGATTCGTCGTGTGAATGAGGTTACCGGAGGCCCAACTACTCCCCTCCCCAATCACCTCAATTTCTGAATTTAAAACAATCCTCAAATTCTTAATCCCCAAAAGGCCACTAACGCAGTTGTAACGTCTCTAGTGTTCCGGATGTCCATGGGCGGCGCTGATTGCTTACTATCAGATGATACGTTTGCTCGTTTACTGGATAATCCCGTAAAAAAATTGCGAATTATGAAATGGTATAATACATGACAATGCTGAGCTTACCTCTTATTGCAAAGGACGTATAGAGGTAATATACCTATCTGGTGAATTTGGGTGTTTTGTTGTAAATGTGCACGTTTGCCTACTCTCCGTCGTTAATTAATAGGCATGATTTAGCGTATGTATTTATGTACCCAATACTAATTACAATCAAAATTTTATTATTTATTTTGTTGCCACGTAACTGAAAATATTATAATTAATACTATTGTTTTTGATTTTAATTAGACTCAAGCTTTCGCCCACAAAACTCGCCCACACTGAATTTAGAAATCGCGCTTTGAACTGTGTTTCTCTCTTGTTTTTAATAACAAATAATGTCTTTAGCATTTCAATTACTCGGTTTTAAGTAACGATAACACAAATGGAATGATATTTGTTTTTTAAACGCAAAGCATCAACGTTAATTGATAAAGCCTAGCATGGACATTTTGACATGTATATAGGCGGCTTTAGGCCAACACGCTGAGCCAGCGTGTAAAGGTCTACTTAGCGGTATGTTGGTCGTAGGTCAACCGAATGTTGTCGGTTTTTCGTACGCACATCAAAGGATTTCATATTGCTCCACAAACGGCGCTTACACATTCATTCAGTGTATTGTCGTCAGTAAAGACGGTACTGTGGCGTATGAGTTGTAGTTCCCGAATTACAATGGCGTGGACGAACACTGAGATTTTACATTTTTTTGAAATGTACAGGAATGACATACCTAAGCAAGCCTTGGATTGGAATCCCTAAGGGAAAAGAAAGCGTGACTGTCCTTGGCAAACCTGACCTCTCACCGTAGAGGCAGAACCGACGAGCTTCGGTATGACGTTGAGTGAGGTGAAGCCCGAAGCTCAAGACAGATCGCGATGGAGAACTTCAGTGGACGCCCTCTGCCCCATCTAGGGGACACAGGATATTAAATCAACTAAGTCACAGAAATGACATTTAAAATTCTCTATATTGGTCCAACAGTTTGCCCAATGTGTAGAGCTGCCTTAAAGTCTTCTTATGTCGAGGATGCTCAATGCTTTCAAGTCCAACAGAGCATTGTCAATTTGTCATTATTACATTTATCAATTACTTTATGCTAAAGATAAGTCTGGATCATCAATCATAGTGCAGGATCAAGAACCAATACACTGCAAAAAATATTCAAATTTTATTGAAGTAACTTCATTTCGTGGCTCTTTTCATATTTTTTACACTACTCGAGTATGACTAAGCATGTGAGTCATACAATTGAACAGTTCCTACAAATCAGTAAACAGCAGAAATTACCTGATCCTCGGGAATTTATTCCGACAACGCGATCGTTTCTAGAACAAACTGGACGAGATATCCTCAATTGACACTTCCTACTTTGCAAAATAAAGACTTTTGTCACACAATGCCTGTTAGTTTGCTTCTACGTGGATACTTCACCTTTTTCTAATCTTTTCGAAATCGAATAAACAATTTTATCAAATTATTATAATATGAGATAATGATTCACATTTTTTTATCGCATAATCAGGTAAATAAGCAGACGAATCATCTGATGGTAAGCAATCGGCGTCGCCTATGGACACCTGAAACACAAGAGGCGTTACAAAAGTGTTGCGGGCCTTTTGGGGATTAGGAGATCGTTGGGGATTCATGGATTGGGGAGATTGGGGAAGGGGAGGTTAATTCGGCCTTCGGTAACCTCACTCACACGACGAAACACAACGCAAGCGTTGCTTCACGTCGGTTTTCTGTGAGGCCGTGGGATCACTCCGGTCGAGCCGAAGCATGGCTCTCCCACGTATCATCATTATTAACACCCGGAAGACGTCTACTGCTGGACAAAGACCTTCCACTTAGTCCTCCACGTTGAAGGACAACATAATTATATTGATTAATACTAATTAACAAAAACAAAAAAAAAAACAAAATTATAAAATAGTAGAAAGGACCAGATTCGGGAGAATGGTCTAAGCTACCGATGGTTAGTGCTGCAGAGAGAGAAACCGCCTGACGTTACGTGCCGTTTCTAGGAGAACTGGCTTCTGTATTTATACTTATTATACTCTTTGATTGAAAATTATTACACTCATCACTTTCTGTAATTTTAAGTTGGCACAGAAAAAATAATGTTGGCAGTACACAGAAAAGTGCACGAATTCGCAATAGATGGCGTTACGGGCGCTATTTTTTGTATCATTATGTATTACTTTTAGAACGCTTACTACTTTGATGGTCGAGTGTCCTAAAATAATTCTGTTCAGCAGGATTTTTGAATAATTCACCAAATTCATTTCATCGAAGCGCAAATAAATGATATGAAACCATCAAAATACATTATAAATTATGATGTCTCAAACGTCAATGTGACCTAACCAATATTATAACAAAACCTCTCAAAGGAATAACAGAATGACAAGTAATTTACAGTATCGATGATAGTAAAAACAATTTGCTTCAACCTTAATTAGATTACTAAGAAATGTCGAAGCCATTTAACTACAACCGACGGCAGTACAAGTTTCAAGTTCCACAATGGTAGACGGTAAGAATATTTTCATTCACACTACAATTTTTTTTAATAGCGCACTTTTTATTCATCTTTCACATATGCACATTCAAAGTCAAAGTCAAAGCATTTATTTCATAATTAGGCACTTTTGAAACGTCAAAATTTGAATTGTCTGTGTTCTTCTGCCAGTGAAGCTATGTGCTAGTTCCAAATGTACTTTCAAATGGAGAAGAACGAGGAGGAAACTGCCTCGTTACTCTTTAAAAAAAAGTTTTTACAGTCTTATTGATACATTATCATTCTGATCATTTAACAATTGTTTCTATATATGAGAATTTACTTTAAATATATTATTTAAGTTAACACTAATTTTGGATTTAACGTCTTTTATTTCCTAAAGGACTATGGTTAGGTGCACATGTTTCGTATTAACATCCATTTTTTATCTTTCCAATTTGTGCTAGTTGTGTTGTTAGTTCCAACCCCTAGTTAACAGACGTGACCCTATTTCCATGTACTTACCGGCTCCGGCTCGAAGCACTCTTTTTAGTCAGTAAGAGTCTGACACTCCCTCCCGCCTCACCTAGGCGGGATCAGTCATTCGATGATTTTCCCCTTTAAAAAAAAAGGTTTCCGGCTAATAATACATTAAGTGTCGAGTGAAGAGGTTGCTCATAAGTAGGTGTGCTCCATCGTCGGCCACATCGTCAGTTACCACCAGGCGAGATTATAGCCAAATGTCTATAACTATCAAATAAAAAAAAAGGCTGAAAAAAGTCTACTAACCAGTATATTTTCTAACCAGTATATCGACCGCGTGAGCCTTTGCTCGGCAGTCACCCTTGAAACCTTTTAAAATGTTGCTATTAAAACAACTTCTCATCATATCTCGTAACACGTTTACAGTCATAGATCCAGGAGTTGTGAAGACAGGAGCCTACAAGTACGAAGATGGGACTCGTTATGTTGGCGAGTGGAATTCGAAGGGCCAGAAGCATGGTATGGGACATCTGGTACTACCGGACGGTACCAGGTATGATGGAGCCCTGATTGGAGGTCTGTGCTCTGGACTTGGCGTGATGGCATTCCCTGATGGAGCCAAGTAAGTTATATCAATTAATCCTTGAAAAAGCGGTGAAGAATTAATTAGTTTTTGCCAGCCTTTACTTCTATGTACCTACGTATAATAGAGAATTAGATAATACCAACCTTAAAGATATCTACCAAAATCTATTTTGGTTCGATTGTAATCATTAAGACGCAATTCTATTATCTTATGCCTAGCAATCAAAAAATACCAACTATGGTAAGACTGTATTTATTGCATCAAATATAAATGCTATATTTGATGCTAATAGTCAGTCGTTCTGACTGGATTTAGGTGTTGCATTGTTCTCACATAATCGAACCAATAAAACTATGTACCTAACTAGAGAATTGTATTGTAAACCTGATTGAAAAAGAGTAACCTATGGAGTTTCTTGCTCGTTCTTCTCCATAGGAATCTACGCCTTGGAATGAGCAACTAGATTCACTTATAAATTTTTGTTGTTTGACGTTCAAAAGTGCCATCCTGGTCTAATTGAAATAAATGATTTTGACTTTGACTTTGAATAATAATTGCTATATGTGATGTATAATACATGAAAAATTGGGTAATATTATTTTAGTCTCTCCATGTTGTCCTTTCAGAAAAGTGTAACAGCGTTCAGAAATATATCACTGCAAACGGTTTAACCATTTCTCAAAAAGAAATTAAAGCCTAAACTCTAGCGTACGTGATGTGAACAGCCACGCGTTGAATTCTCGAATCTCTTTTAACAGATCGAATTTCCTTGAATCACGTGAAATTCTAGTCTTTATTGAAATGCATCACAGATTTCCTTTGAGAATTTCGCAGCTTTTGGCAAATACAAACTGCCAATCCATTACCTGCCAACCGTAGAGACTATTGTAGAACCTCTTTGCAAAACCGTAATATATACCGTGCGTCCACATCTGGCGAATATGCCGCTTGCGGGCCTTAGGTGCATCCACATCTGGTGAATATTCCGCAAATGCGCAGCTCGCAAGTTGCGCACGTGCACTTAAAATAAGTATTTATACGAACCTTGTATGAGTTGAACCATTGCCGTGACAGCACGCACTCAGCACGGGGGCAGCCCACAAACGGCTCGCAAGCTGCACGCACATATCCCTTGTGTCAATATGTGTGTATGCTGCGTGTAAGTCTATAGTAGCCAGGTGCCACAGTCGTAGTCGTAGTCACAAATCATATTCCTTATCAATCAGTACGACAGTGTTAGGTAATCTTGTCAGACAATATTAAACATAGTATTATTATTTCCACTGTGTCACCGTCAAAATACGGACGGTTAGACACACAGATGGTACTTCATAACTGGATGAGTAACAGTGTATTATATGCTCATCTCCAAGGGAAATAAAACAGTGTATTATTATGAACATGTTCCAAATTAAATGTCAGCGAATACACTCAGTACTCTGATGTTAATATTATTTGGAATATAAACTTTTCGGTAGTACCTATTACATGAAGATTCTTGGAATTTCTATTCAATTATAATATTTTAATTACTATGCTATGATTACGCTGAGCGATTATGATAGTAAGTGCGATTACTGAGTATATATTTATTTATTTCTTAACTCTTTAATGCACACAGTTATAAGGTACACAAGGCAGATTTAATGCCATATAGCATTTTCTCCCAGTCAACCTTTGGATTAAGTAGAGAATCAGCGAAAATAGGCTTGTATAAAATGCAGTAAAATAGAACGAAATAAATAACTAATAATAATTATAAATAACATAACAAAACATTACGCCTTTTGTCCCCGACAGGGTAGATAGGCAGAGATGCACATTATAGGTACCACTGTACAATGTAACACGGACTTTTCACAATTTGTGTTATGAGTCCCATTTAATAGGGGTTGAGCCTATTGCCATATACCGGGCACAATTCCAGACTCCGTGCTACTGAGAATTTTTAAAAATCCCAGTAATACTTTGCCCGACCCGGGAATAGAACCCGAGACCCCTTGCCCGGCAGTCGCACTTGCGACCACTCGGCCAACGAGGCAGTCATAATAATAAATACTGTGTAACATAATATAACGATCAAAATATTAACCGAAATGATACATGATACCGCTGGGCTATCACTTCTGTCAAAGGCGATGTTTTTCAGGTATATAGCAATAACCAATATAATTTTACGAGAATTCATTTTGAGCTGTTTGTTTAATAAGTTTATTTGTGACTGCAACGGACATATTGAAAACAGTTTTACATTTTTACCTTTGAAGAGGCATTTGCCCAGCAGCGGTTACGAGTCAATAAAACTGCATCAACAGAAGAGTTCAGTAGTGTGTTCAATAAAATTTAAAGAATATGTTTCTCCTACTATTCATTTCAATACATTTTGTATTGATTTTAGTGACAGTTCTGTGTTTTGTTCTTAGCTTTTAAATTTTATGGAGAATTATGGGATACTAGCGACCCGCCCCGGCTTCGCACGGGTGCAATATGCATGTATTATACATACAAACCTTCCTTAAGAATCACTCTATCTATTAAAAAAAACCGCATCAAAATCCGTTGCGTAGTTTTAAAGATCTAAGTATACATACGGACATACAGCGAAAGCGACTTTGTTTTATACAATGTATTGATTATAAATTGTTGTTGAACATCCTAATCTATATATATAAAAATGAAACCCGTTTCCCGTTGTAATGTCATAACATTTTTTTCGCATCCTATCCTTGGCGGCCCGTCTGCTTCTCTTCTGATGACCCGTCAGCTTGTGGGGAAGCCATAACGGGGGTGCTGCGCCAGGGCATGGAATACTACATTCCATTCTCTGACGTGGCATCCTTTGGTGGGTCCCGTCCATGGTTCGATGCCGACTGCGGACGTGCCGAAGCGCAAAAGCAGGCGGCTAGGCTGATTTTTTTTTTGTTGTGTTTGTTACTGTCAGTAGAAGGTCCTTATGATAGAAAAAATCCCGAAGGTCTTATGGGAACGGGAGAAAATGGGATTGCGCGTACGAAGTCGCTTGCAGAAGCTAGTTCATTAAACATAATTATAAATAAAGAGTCGTGATTTTAAAATACTCAAAAACTGAAAAGAACAATGCCATTAGTTTTATTCACAATCCCAAAGTGTCTCCATTTTCTAATAGATACAATTTTATTTACGTAGTGGTCGGATTATCTGGATAGCCACTTAGGGTTAGATCCCAACACTATATTTTGGACATAAGAACGTCTGTTTATTATTGAAGTACTCTAACCAAGTGCCTTCAAATGCAATGTGGAAAAATAAGAAAGATATATATTTGTATCGGCGGTTCAGAGGTCAACGGACTGATATTAGGGTCTGAAGTTGCCAGTAAATATTAAAATAATAATATAATTTAAATAGGTATGCAAAATCATAATGAGCATGTATACCTAACGATTATGAACCCCGGTCATAGTTTGAAACTAGACGACCAACCTCAAACTGTTAACATTACATGTGAAAGTACATAATACTTTTATACCTATAGATTATGAAACTCGTTTCCATATTAGTGGCAATACCGCAGCACGTTTCAGATGTGAATTAAACACATAAAATTGATCATAAATTTCCTGTGAAAACGTGTCGTTTTACAACCACTAAAATTGGCTAGTTTCCTAGGTTTAAAATAAATTGTTTCAACTTTTCAATGCAATAAATAATTAAAAAATAAACATACTCTCATCCGTCGATTTGACAACTTACCTACTTTTCGATTTTTTCTCGCTAATTTTAATAAAATAAGTGTGCTATTAATTTGACGCAGAAATATGATGACGTCATAAGTTGCGGTCCAATACAAAATTCATAGAAACGTATCGTTTTTGACATTATAATAAAAGTATTGAATTTGACTCAAAGTCAAAGTCAAGGTCAAAGCATTTATTTCAATTGAACCATAGTTTGATACTTTTGAAACGTCAACAAATACAAAATAAATAATAGTCTGTCAGTGAAACTAGGTGAAGCTAGGTGCTCATTTCAAAATGTAGATTCGAATGGAGAAGAACGAGCAAGAAACTCCATTCGTTACTCTTTTTAAAAACAACACAACTACCGTATTATAGCAATAATTTGCATAAAAGTACCTACTTATCTCTTCTTGTAGTAAGTAGTTAATTGTATTATTTTAACCGATTTCAAAAAATAAGTTCGTTCTCAGTTTGACCTGTATTTATGCTTGTTTGCAATTATTTCCCGATTGGCTGAGCCTTTTTGGTGCGGTTTTCGTGAAAGTGTTTGTTAAACTTACTAGAAAGTTTTAGTATATTAATTAACTGACCTCAAAAAAGAGGGTGTTGAAGTCGGTTTTTTATAATAGTTAGTGTAGTTTCGCAAACACAGACTGTACGGAGTCTGGAATTGTGCTCGGTATATGGCAATAGGCTCACCCTCTATTACATGGGACTCATAACATAAATAGTGAAAAGTGGGTGTTACATTGTACAGTTGCATAATGTGCACCTCTGCCTACCTCTTCGGGGATAAAAGTAATAATATTCCTTATCTCACATTAATGTTTAAAATGGTAAAAATAATCTCCTTTACTAAAATCGACAGTAACCACAGGAAAAATCCGTTACAAAATGAAACAATATTTACATCTTTCTTAACTTCAAACTCGGGTAGTAAACAAAATAGACCCTTCGTTGCTAAAACTGCTCCCACAACCCACAGCTTCCTGTAGACACTAACCTTACCTTTTATATTGATAAAACAAACTTAGACCCTTTCTATAGACCAAAAATCTGTCGGGACCAAGTCTAGAGTTGTTTAAACAACGCTTGGGTCGGATATCGGAAAACTTCTAGTCAGCTGTTTTTGAAAAATCTTAGCATACTTTATTGAATAATGTTTTTTCTTAGAAGTTTTTTCCCTTTGAAAATTTGGGTGGGAAAGTTATAAGATATGTAAATATTTTTGTAGTGATATCCATATATCAACTTTTTTTCTACATTTTCAGTAGACGAGACGGGTTTCCGATAGGCATGTACGGTTTGTCTGTCGTA